CTGATCCTCACTCTGAACCCAAAGGCTCTTTTCAGAGCCACCCACTCATTCAATGAAAGAGCTTTAATACAACGTGTTTTTGTGTCTTGTTTGTTTGGAAGGTTAAATAAGATGCGATTATTTTACCTGGAGAAGTCCTACTTGATTCTGGGTTATTTAGGGCAAGCAATAAAGATCTATGTCCAGATTCATTGGTCAATGATTCGTGGTGTTAAACAATTTCAGGTATGATTAATTTGTTTTGTAAGCATTGTGTGTCTTATCCAGTAAACACAAGTAGCGTGTTTTAGCTTTGATTTTAATAGTTGCAGTGCACTAATACATCACTCTTAAAGAATATCACCTATCTTTCAATAGCTCCGCTAACATTCATTAGAGGAGAAAATAAACAAGTAATGTTTTTTTGCGTAATCGGTCTTACCGTGTCTCTGAGCTGAAATTTTGGCTTTGAGAGGAGAACGATTACCCCTGCAGATCTGAGAACAACGATACGAGCGAGCGCGCGCTGTAACAGCCGCTTTCGGAGCGGAGCTGTCCGGCGGCAGCGCTCCGAGCCGATTTCGCAGCGCGGGCTTTTTGAATCTTTCCAGTCGTCCAATAAGCGGCCGCGGTTTCTCCCATCACCCAATCAAAACGGGCTTCAGGCAGAGCCGGGCCTCCCAGGCAGCCCCGCGCCGATCTGCGTCCGTCCGGCAGCGGCCCCGGTGAGCTCCGTGAGCGCCGCGCCCGGCGGTGGGAGAGGGAGGGAGGTGGCGGGCGCGCTGCCTATCCCGGCCCTCTCCCTGCGGCTCTAACAGCAGTTTTGTGAAGCTGTGCAGGAATTAAAAAAGTCCCCCGCTGAGAGGAAAGGTCATTGCCAAGGACGCGGAGGAGCCGTGCCGGAGAGTTGGCAGCGCCTGTCCCTAAGAGGCGTGGCGGTAGCGCGCAGACTGTTAGGGACCGCATTGTCTGAGTTAAAGCACCGAGAGAGACCTGCATGCCCCAGAGCGATACCCACCCCAGCAATCCCTTTAACACACGCACCTCTGTCCTTCGTTGCTCAAAGGCAGCCCGAAGAGGGGTTGCTTTTTTTTCCCCACCCCCCTCTCCAGGGAGCGCAAACTTTATTTTTTCCAGCCCTGTGCTAACCACGTTCCGCAGCTCAGAGTCCTGCTATTTCTGCAGGCGAGCATCCCATCTGATCGCGAGTAAAAAATGGCGAATCGTGAGCTTCGCTGCAGGCATGGAGCTCACTGTCCGAGTGTCTCAGCTCTTTTTCGGACAGTGGTGGGTGGCTCTTAAAAGAGCCGTTGGGTTTAAGTATTTCCACATCAATACTTCACTTCTTGGCCGCCGCCTTCTTTCCCTTGGCTGCCTTCGGTTTGGCTGCCTTGGATTTGGCAGCTTTGGGCTTCACCGCCTTTGCCTTGGCCGGGCTTTTGGCAGTCGCCGCCTTTTTGGGCTTGGCAGCCTTGGTCACCTTCTTCGGGCTCTTGACCGCCTTCTTGGTGGCAGCGGCCGCCGGCTTCTTGGCTTTCTTGGGGCTCTTCTTCGCCGCCGCCGCCGCCGCCTTCTTGGGTTTTTTGGCTGCGCTGGCAGGCTTCTTCGCCGCCGGTTTCTTAGGCTTGGCCGCGGGCGTTCTCTTCCTAGGAGCCTTCTCCTTTGCCTCTCCCGGCTTCTTGCTGAGGCGGAACGAGCCAGAGGCGCCGGTGCCCTTGGTCTGCACCAGGGTGCCCTTGCTGACGAGGCTCTTGAGCCCCAGCTTGATGCGGCTGTTGTTCTTCTCCACGTCGTAGCCGCCGGCGGCCAGCGCCTTCTTGAGCGCGGCGAGGGAGAGCCCCTTGCGCTCCTTGGAGGCGGACACGGCCTTGGTGATCAGCTCGGTGACGCTGGGGCCCGCGGGCTTGCGGGCTTTGGCGCCGCCCGCCGCCTTCTTCGGCTTCTTGGCGGCCGCCTTGGCGGCGGGGGCCGCGACAGCGGGAGCGGCGGCGGGAGCGGTCTCCGACATCGCGGCAGAGACTTCTTCCTAATCAAAAGAAAGTAATTGGGCTACAGTAACCCCGATGCCTGAATTTATAGCGAAGCGGTGATCTGTGATTGGTGCTTTACAGATCCCGCCTAACTGTTAGCCAGGAAGAGCTTTCCGTCCTCCGAGTCTGTGTTTCTTCGGAGTTATAAATTCGTATTTTTTGAAAAATCCCGGCCGCGAAATCATCCCGCTTTCTTCGGGGGGTGAAGGGAAGACCTTGAAGCTTCGTTCTGGGGAGTTTGTCGCCGCGGGCATCCTGGACAAGAGCAAAAAGACGCGTTTAACGTGCCGTCCTGCATCCGGGAAGACCCTGGGGAAGGCGAACTTTTGTTTTTCCGTCTAAATTAAAATAAAAGCTTTCGTTAAAAAATCTCCCCCGTAGCGCAGATTTGTTCTTTAGGGGCTTTTCTGCGGAACAGGATGGATACTGAGGGGGCAGCTTCAATACTTTTGTCGCAAATTGAGTTCAAAGAGAAGGAAGTAACACAATTTCGTGTCTGAGCTTTGAATATGGATAGAGAATCGCCTCCCTGAACCGTATCTTTAACTATTAAGAATACAGTATTCTCACAAAATTCTGTGTTTTGAGAAAATAAGATACATCCAGAGGAATTGATGTGCTAGAACTTGTCACTGTTCCTCGTGTTTTGTTATGTTCTGAGAGGGAATGGTAGCATTTTGATTTATTTTTTTTTTTTTTTGTTTTGCTTTGTTTTTGGAGATAACTTCTGTATATAAAAAACGAAGCTGTTTTTGCCTCGTTAATAAAGTCGAAATAAGCTGCAAGCTCGATGTTTTGTCCTTTACAGTGCACTATATTGCTGTTCTTAAAACTTGCAAAAGTCAGAAGCAAGAAGTAAGGAGAAAAACACCCAACACATTTATATACACAAAGATGTGTCACATTATCCTCAAACATCAGTGGAACAAACTGAAGCCTCTCTTCTCCCCAAATAAATATAATAATATGGAAATCGACCTCTGAGAACAGAACGACTCATACAACATTTATTTACATATATTTGGATATAGGCTTGTTTTCCCACCATAAGCTTTATAAAATCTGTGATTCTCAAGAGAAAAAAAGTAGACATCCAGACAAATCCTCATGATATAAATGCTCATATAGCGACATAATTTTCAGATAATCCTCACAAGTAAAAATCAGTTTTGATTTTCACTTAATTATTGTCTCACCCAGTGACAAATGAAAATAATTCTGTTTGCTCATTAGTTTAAATATTGATTAGGATTGATTGCAATCATTTTGGAGCTGATCAGAATTCAGAAGCCTCAGCTGGTTTCTAATTAGAAAGCAGACTGAAATTTATTCCTTCACTGAAAAATAACAAATTAATCCCCAAATGATTGTTTTTGTCCCACTTTAGAAATAGCTACCATGTAAAACGTCAGTGGGCTGTTATATGAAAGAACATCTCTTTTAGCACTGATGGATCTGAGATTCATGAAGATAAATAATACTCTGCAGAAGGCCTTGTGTAGTTCCAGTGGACCAGTGCTGAAAATACCACTGAGTTATTTGTACCATTAAGTGGTTTTAGTTTAAAAGAAATATACCAAAATAGCAAGGAGTACTGAGGTACAACAGAATAGCCAGAGTGTTAACAATGAACTGCCACTGCTTTGTCTTCTCATGTAATTCCATTTTTATTTTGCCATGTTTGTATGTATGCCAGCTGATACATTGAAAGAGAGGAAAGTAAAGGCAGAGAGGAAGGGGAGATTCTGGCTGTTCGGTACCCCACTGCTGAAGCCAGGCTGGAAGGCGCCCTGAGTTGGGCACTGAGATCGGCCACACATTTCAGATGGTGTCATTCCCAGGTAAACAGCCAGGGCAAATCCACAGTAGCCATAAAGCTCTGGGCAACTGCATGAGAGATGGGAATAAAATTCTGAGAGACAAAAAGTTAGTTGCTAGAAAAGGAGATGATGCTTATCTCCCAAAAAAGGTAGATGGAGATTTCTCTAAAACAGAATCAGTCTGCAAGTGATAGAGAGAACAGAGCTAGGAAGGGTTGTCGGGTGTGTGGGTCTGTTTGATGTAAGGCACTCTTCTGGGCTGCAAGTGCAGGCAGTGGTGGTGAGATCATCTGATCTGATGGATGTTGGCTTCTCCTCATTTACTTCTCAATGGGTTGATATACATCCAAATGTTTTTAAACTCATCTCTCCATCAAGTGCTGACTATTCTGAGTTGCACTTCTGAAATTCCTTGTTTTTCCCTGGCAGTCTGAGACACCTGAATACAGACCAGTTGGTTGCAGTTGCAGTTTGCATCCAATGCTGAGCTGTCAGCATCCCCCATCCTGCCTGTTCCTCAGGCATCAGACCTCCCCAGGTCTGCACAGAGCTCACCTGGCCTCCTTTTTCTGATCACTGAGAAGTTTCCTGGTCTTGATTGCTATTTCTGAGAAGTTGTTAAAGAGTGGAGAGTGGGCCTTTGGAGTTATGATGTGGTGTGAATAGAGCTTTTTCCTTGTCCTTTTTTCTTCTTTTTCTCTTCTTTTTATTCTTTCTCTTTTTCCCTTTTTTTTTTTTTTTCTTTTTCCTTTTCTTTCTCCTTTCTCCTTTCTTCTTTCTCCTTTTTCTTCTTTTCCTTTCTCCTTTCTCCTTTTCCTTTCTTCTTTCTTCTTTCCCTTTTCCCTCTTTCTCTTTCCCCTTTTCATTTTCATTTTTTCTTTTCCTGTTGATTTTTCCCTCCTTTAGGTGTGGAATTGAATTTCTCTAGTTAATCAGATAAAACTCTGAACAATTTTCAAGTTTGCTTTTCTGTAAATAGCTGTCGAGAGAAAAACTTGATAATTTTTCTTATAGAGACATAGGGGTCCACATGGAGGAAAAACAGATTAGACATCAGACGGATAGGGGCAGATTAAACACACAGAATACAGGAAAATAACACAAATAAACTAAAGACTACACTCATTTATTTGTATTTACTCTTCTTAGCATGTTGAAGAAATTGTTGATTTTTAATATAAGTATCCTATTCTTTTGACGAAGGATATTTTTGCATGCATTCAGGTATCTACTCTTAACACTAAGTATTAACAATATATACATATAACAAGATCAAGAAACATCAGTCAAGTTTTTGCTGTGTGGCAAGTTTGTTGCCAACACTGATTCAACAATTGCAAAGTTTATATAGTAAGGAAGAATTAAGATGACAAAATGCCATTGGTAAAGAAGTCACATGTATTGCTTGACACATGCACCTCAATAATGCTGAGAAAAATATGTCACCAGATGTTCCAGTGTTAGGGCATCCCGTGTCCTAATATTCTGTATCTATTTTGCCTTCTACTCTATTACCTGCAGCAACACAACAGTTTAGAAGGCTGAGAAAAGCATTTTCCTATTTGGTATAAGCTAAGAAACCTAGTTCTAAAAACATGCCAAATAATTTGGCCCATACTGGAACAGCCTGTTGATGTCATTGAGATAGATGGAAGTACTTTGTTTTCTATTTCTAGGAAAATGAATGTAAGAAAGTTCTCTTGCAGCTGCATTGTCAGACGGTCTGTGCTGCTGCTTTCTTTTTTCAACACACGTACATTGCCACAATGTTGTTCCAACCTTGCGTTCAGGAATGATTTTGCCCTCTGCTACATTCAAAGCAGGATAAAAAAAAACAAATGAAGAAAAAAAAGTTTATCATTCTTGTCAGTCAAACACAGGTACATCATATTACTGAGTTCTTAAGGGTTGAGATACAAAAGGGATGTTCCCACAACGCTCTTCCCATCATAGAAGGGTCTAGTAGTCTCCATGCTAGTTTTCCTATTTACTTAGGTTCAGCAAAGGAGGATTGCTGCCAGTGATGTGAAGACTTGAAAGTAACGACAGGGATTTGTCAGACTGCAGTGATTTTATGATCACAGAACAGTGGAATTTGGAAAGCATCTCTGCAGATCATTGAGTGCAACGCCCAGGATCGAGGCATGGCCAGCTAGAGCAGGGAGACATTACAACCTCAGTGGGCAAACTGTTCTACTGTTTGACCACCTCTACGATAAAAGACTTAGACATATTGCTTAAGTTTTAGTAGAATTTCCTGTGTTTTGTTTGTGCCAATTTCTTCCTGTCCTGTCACTGGGCAGTCCTCATCAGTGCTAAGTGGAGGGAAAAAATCACCTTCATCAGTACTGGTTTGGAATTCATACTTATCCATGTTAATTTATGAATCCCATATGCGGATTAATGATGAATTGCACTCCTGCCATTTTTATTTATTTATTTATTTATTAATTTATTGGTTTATTTTTACTTCTGGTCATTAATTAAAATTAGCTTCAGAAAAAACATTGTTACCTCTCACACAGTTTTATTTTCAAGGCTTGTGAAGACCAGTTTGAATTGCCCTGTCTTGTCTCTGTGGTCACGGTGTCCATGAGTGTAGGACTTTAAAGGCTAGTTGGAGTCATGGCAAATCTTCTATTTCAAATAGGAATACAACCCTAAGCCCCTAAAACCAGAGTACATCGATAGGTTGGTGTACATTTCTTGTATAAGAAAGGCAATAATGTAGAAAAATGAAACAATGCAAAACAAAAAAAAATGGAGTGATTGAAGTGCCAAATCAGGATCTAGTGGATTCTTGCATGTAAGTAGCTAAAAGAAACACAGCAATGCCATTCTCCTACCTGCCATGTTTTCTAGGCAGCAAAAAGCATTCTGTCCCTTTTCATGAAGGGACACCTGGTTCCCAGTTTTTATTTTAAGTCAGGCAGTAACACAGTTAAAAAGTTGTAGTTCTATGATGTGATGCATTATAATTCACAGTGATATCACTGCGAGCAGGCAATCATTTTGTGCTTCTGATGGAAGCAAGTGAATTGTGCTTGGAGTGTAGATGTTATCCCAGCAATCACAAACTGTCCTGACACTGTTATGTCTAGCTCTCATTTTTAAATCATAGGTCCTTAAGGACTCTTTAATTGAAGCTGCAGAAATGA